GCAATGAATTTCCATATTATATTCGAAGTATCAACACGACATCTAATTTCCTGTTCACTTATACACCTACAAACGTTTCATATAAGTTATAACTAGAACTGTAGATTTTTCGAAAAATGTACTTACTATTTTTGGCTTAATGTTAAATATCTTGTAAGCGGTTTTTAATAATTTCCCTAAATTAAAAGTTTTTACACACGTTTTATTATTATTTTTTTTAAATGTTTGTCGTATAAATATCTATCACGATATATATTGTACGCACCTAGTACTGAATTAATTATACGTTTTATTTATAATAATTTATACTATACCAATATAGATTTTTATATTTTTCAAATTATAATTTTTAAGTATACTTAGGACACACTTTAAAATAAAAACCTGAGTCCTCTAAGAGTCTGGAAACCCTAGAGGGCTAGACAGTCCAAATAGCCGCACTCCTCAAATATACGGAACTAGAGGTAAAATGTATAGCTGAGGCGATGAGCGTCAGTATCATACTAGCATTGATACTGAATAGTTAATAATAACTGTGTAACTATAGGGACAAATAAAATCAATGCCCCCCCTACCACCACACTGGTTGGCCACTTTCTGAATGTCTTGTTTGCGTTTACAGTATTAGGATAACAATGAATGATAAACAATAAACAATTGTGTAGCTTTTTTTTTCAATTTCCTCTCTAAATCTAAAAAATACTAAAATGTTTCTAATATTATATTTAATATTTAAAAATACATCAAAATAAGTATTTAAAAGTTTTTCGAGCTATCGGGAATTTCCCTCTCCGAAATTTTCTGGAATTCTTTAACATTTCTTAGAAAACAGTAATATTACATCCTGGGATCATCCCTAAGAAAATTCATGAAGTACGAAGAGCGAATATCTTACCACTTTATTAAACCATCTGGTTTAGTGAGGTTAATATTTAGCTTATGTTATCTATTTGTCTCCGTCTTATAAACGTACATCATAGCAAATGTATGATTAGTAGTTCTAATTTAGTGTAGTAACCTTTAATAATTGTGTGAATTGACATTATAATTGAACTTAATGGTAAGAACTTTATCTGATTTTTCGCAAAGGTTTTTAACTTACGTTTTTTAAAATATTTTTATTTTTATGGTAGCTATGATAATTTTTAAATTCTAATATTTTATATACTTATAAAAAATTGAAATACCATAAAAAAAAGCTTGTGAAAAGTTTAAGTTTGGTAACAGGTCAATTCACTCAATTATTAAAGATTACTACATAAAGACTACCTACTAAATTGGAACTACTGATCACAAATTTGCCATTTCGTACATTTGCAGTAAGAGTGGCGGAGACAATACACACGCAGGTGTGGCATCTTCTGGAATGCCAAGTGTTGTAAGGTAAGACAATCATACCGAAATCCGAATATGTGCTTGTATATTATTATAATGGTATGTACCATGTGGGTATAATGTGGCCGGCAAGGCTGGACACGTAATAATATTATAATAACGAGGATAGAAATTAAACATTTTTTTAGTTCAAAGTCATTTATATTGCATAACTTTCATCGAAACTAGTCGATACGACTCGATATCAAAGTGCTATTACATATTTTATTTATAGTAATAACAATTCGGTATTTCAATAAATCCATTAAGAGTTTAATAATTCAATAATATTCCAATATATAGTCCCCGCAGTATTTCTATGTCCATTTTTCTGTATTGCATGGCTATTGCCTATATTATATACCTATTAGGTTTCAACCAAACAATAATGCCATATTACCTATTGTGAAAGTCGATTATAATTTTACGAATTACGGTGCGATGATGAAATTATAATCCTAATTTATTATAATGAATTTAAGTTTTTAATATGGTGGTGCTAATGTACAGACCTATTTTACATGTATATCGTTAAGCAGTATATGTATATAATACACAGAGTGATTCACCAAGCATGCACACCCTCATGCTATCATTTTAATTCAGATTTTTGGAATTTTTAAATATACTTACCCATTCATATAGTGGATTTAAAAAAAAAAAAAAGTTTAAGTATTTAATTCAAAATTCAAACGAATATTTTCTCTGTTATAAAAATATTTATTCTAAGGATTATAGTCCATAGGATCCGTATTTGAGCAATTTTACAAATTATAAATTTAATGTCGTATATATTAATATTAATTACTAACATTTTCAAATCACCATAATATAGTCCCATCATTATGAATTTGGTATCTTAGTACATAAAGTTAAATAAGTAAAAAACTACTAGTTTAAATTTTGGTTTTGATGCGTTAACATTTTCAGAAAAATTATCTACTGAATAATTTACAATAAAAAAGGGGTTTTTTTTTGAAAACAGAAGTTTATATCTCCACAGGACACTCCTTAAGTAGTGCTTACAAAATATCAAGAATTTCTGATATCTACATTATTAAAGGAAAAAGGGGCTGAGCATGAGTGGTCAATCACTCTGTATATGCTCTTAACCACAAGCCTTAAACAAACTATCTTCCTAATGACTATGTTATTATTGTATAATATGTAAAATATTGTTAGGCGTCTTACAGGCGTGAACAACGATGTCATATTCAAATACAGTTAGTAGGTATATTAATATACTATTACGTTCGTTAATCATAATATATTCGTATAAACTCTACCCGAGTTGACTCGAATCTATACTTATAGGTCCTACTTAATATAATATATAACACTGCAACAGTGAGAATGAAAAATAAAATCGAATTAAACGGCCACTTTCCCAGCAGGCTTGTGTGTTATACGCACATAATAGGTACATCTGCACTGTCCGAAAAGACGACATTTCAATCATGTGTGTGTGTGTGTGTGTGTGTGTGAATGTGTACACATCAAGTCGATAATGTACTCTCGAGTGGCCGACAAAAAGAAAATTAATTAAATCAATCCTCGCTCACGTCTCCTGCAAATGCATAGCACACCGCACCCGCGTCTTCCGCGAGTGTCCGGACCGACCTTGTGCACAGTCGTCGTGGCGAAACACATTGTATTATTATATCGATTGTTGTCGTTAAGCAGAGTAATATAATTATTAACTCATTATTTTTGTGACTGTATTATGATTATCGTCATCGTATTATCAATTTCACTAATGTTTTTTTCTCACCGACCGCGACACCACGGCGGCGATAATGCGCCACCGCCAACGATTTTTGTATACAATATAATATTACTATTATGTACAATGTACATAATAATAATATGACGTGGCGAAGGCTGTTTTTAAAGCATGTGCATCAACCGAAGTCGGGGGGTGGGTTTGAGGTAGTCGGATGCGTAAGATTGTTAGTTTGAGGTATTAAATACCATAATAACTGGGGCTGGAATTTCTAAGCACTTATTTTTTTCAAAACTTTCCACGCGATGCTCGTTGTATAACACAAATACACAATACATATTAATATTATTACTATCATTTTTATTTAAATAAGTCATTTTGTAAAGCGCTAACAATGTCTTAACTATTCGTTTCATCCCTTAATGGTAACGATTGTGTTGTATACCGATACCCACGGTGGTTATTGTAATCATAACCAGTATTAATAGTATTATAATTATTATATAAGTAAATGTTATATTGTTATAACAGCTATCTTAGTAAGGTGCGGTGGGGATTGTCCAGCGCACTAATAAGACGTTAAAGAGATGCACACGCCCGATCGCGGGCAGTTGTAAAATGTTCGTTATAATAAACGCATGCTATCATATTAAGCGCATCATTATTATTACATAACTCATAACAAATTGGCGACGAAGAAAACCATATATTTTTTTTTTCTCGTACACGCATTCGTAAAATCGAATACAATATTATATAAATGGCGGGTGATCAGCAAGATGGTCAAAGTGAAAATGCGCCGCAGTCAGTTATAACCAAAATTTTATATTCGCAAGTGATCGGCTCCCCTGGTACGTTTGAACTAGACACGGACATAAGAATATTTTTATCACGATTACGCAACTTTTTCGGAGCGAACAGCATCACCGATGAAACAAAAAAGAAAGCCATATTGCTTACCTCGTTATCGGAAGACTCACACAAACTCCTGTACAGTCTTTGTCTACCAGCAGACCCAAATGATCTACCTTACAAAACATTATCAGGTCTGTTGTCCGATCATTTCGAGCCAAAAAAATCGTATTTCGCAGCACGATACCTGTTCTATCAAGCACGAAAATCAAACGACGAGAGCGTAGCTCAATGGGGTGCACGTTTAAGGGACCTAGCATCGAGATGTAAATTTGGCTCGGAACTGGACATAGTGATCCGCGATATTTTCATGGTCGGAATGGGACCGGGAAAAATACAGGACCGGTTGCTGGAAGAAGACGCTTCAAAGTCGAATGTAACACTCGCGAAACTCATGGAAGTAGCTACTAACAGAGAAACGACGGCAAATGCTAGTAAGCAATGGGCTGCAAAGGGGTCACCTGTAACTGTGAACTTCACGAAACCAACGCAATCCAAAGCCAAGCGGTCATACCAACCCACCCACCAAGGTAGAGGAGAGGTAAATACGTACAACGCTAGTGACAAGAGGAAATGCCAAGTCTGCGGACGGACAAACCACACCTCAAGCGCATGTAAGTTTAAAAGTTATTCTTGTAATACGTGCGGTACCGTGGGACATTTAGCACCAATGTGTAAATCGAAAGTAAAACCCAACCAGGGGGGAAGAAATAAAACACAAAATAAATTTATGTCGGAAAAAGTAGACACCGATTCGGATTCGTGCGTGCAGTTAGGAGATTCTTTTTTTTCAATTAAAGAAAATTCCAATGACAACGTAAAAATAAACCCGTTTAAAATAACTTTAACAGTAGAAGGGAAACCAATTACGTTTGAAATCGACACAGGTTCGCTATACAGCATAATATCGATGAAAACGTTTGATTCCTATTTCGGAACGAAAACGTTAGTAGATAACGATATCGCATTAACGGACTACGTCGGCAATAAAATGACACCGGCGGGCAAAGTACAATTAGCGGTTACTAATAATAATGAGTCAAGGTCGTTCTGGGCGTACGTTATTCCGAACGGCGGTCCGCCTTTAATAGGCAGGAACGATATAGTTTCGCTAGGTATCGAAAATATATATTCATGTAATTTCAATGCTGAAACCATAGACTCAATTTTGGGTAAGTACAAACAGTTATTCGAACCGGGACTCGGCACTTTTAACGCGTATACCATATCGTTAAAATTGAAGCCAGGGGCTAGTCCGAAATTTTGTAAGCACCGTGCGGTTCCTTTAGCCCTTAGAGACAAGGTAATAACCGAGATTGAACGTTTAGTAGAAAATAACACGTTGATTCCAATCGATAGTTGCGAGTGGGCGACACCGGTAGTACCAATTTTAAAAGGTGACGGGTCGGTGAGATTGTGTGGCGACTATAAGATAACGATAAACCCGGTTTTAAACGGCACGGAATACCCGCTACCTAAGATAGAACACCTTTACGCTAAGATTGCGGGCGCGAAGTATTTCTCCAAAATAGATTTGAAAGATGCGTACCAGCAACTACTTCTTGATGACGACTCACAGCGGTTCACAACAATTAACACAATTAAAGGTTTGTTTAAATATACGCGGGTTCCGTTTGGGTTAAAGTCATCAGCGGGAGAGTTCCAAAGGGCAATCGAAAGTGTTACTAGTAAAGTAGAAGGAGTTGAGGTCTTTATAGATGATATTATAGTATCTGGTAGTACGGTAGCGGAGCATAACGCGAGACTCAATAAGCTACTAAATTGGTTAAATACGGCGGGTCTGAAAGTTAAGAAAGAAAAATGCAACTTTCTACAGAAATCAATCGAATACCTAGGACACAAAATCGACGGGGAGGGCCTACATACGTTAAGCAAGCACGTCAACGCAATCAAAGGGGCACCAGCACCTCAAAATAGGTCAGAGTTGAAAAGTTTTTTAGGGCTAGTTACGTATTACGCGAAGTTCATAAAAAACGCGGCCCAGGTACTCACACCGTTGTACAACCTGTTGAGAGAGAACGTAAAATGGTCGTGGTCGCGAGACGCAAGCCAGGCATTTAATGATATAAAACGAATATTATCTTCTAAACCCGTATTAGACCACTATAACCCAAATATACCGATTAAATTAAGTGTAGACGCCTCTTCGTTCGCAATAGGCGCGGTGTTATCGCAAATATACGACAACAAGGCGGAGAGACCGGTGGCATACGCTTCGCGGGTCTTATCCGATACCGAGCGCCGGTATCCACAGATAGAGAAAGAGGGTTTAGCCATTATATACGGCATTCAAAAATTTTATGACTACCTGTACGCCCGCAAGTTTACGCTATTAACGGATCACAAGCCACTGTACCATATATTCGGGGACAAAAAGGGCATCCCGATGTACGCCGCGAATAGACTGCAAAGATGGGCATACGTGTTATCAGCATTTGATTTCGAGATAGTCTTCGTTAAATCCGAACAGAACCCGGCAGATTTTTTATCGCGAATAAAGCTTGATAATTATGGTATCAGTCCCCCCGAACAGCAATGCGTGAATTTTATACACGATAATTGTCCGTTTATAATTAATTGGCATAAAATAAAAACACAAACGCGCGTCGATAGCACCTTATCGCGTGTAATTAGAGCCATTAACACCGATAATTGGCCGACGGACGCGCACAAGGACGCGCACCTAAAACCGTATTTCTCGCGCAAACATGAAATAACGACTGAACAAGACTGTCTCATGTGGGGGTATAGAATTATAATTCCCGACAAGTTCAGAGCGGCATTATTGCGAGAGTTACATTCTGTACATTCGGGTATGAGCAGCATGAAAGCAATAGCACGCTCGTATTTCTGGTGGCCAAAGCTCGACAGCGACATCGAGGACATAGCGCGTAGGTGCGAAAATTGTATCCAAATAAGACCGGCACCGCCGAGGGCCGTACTCTCCCCGTGGAAATGGCCGGAGCAACCGTGGACACGTTTGCACGTGGATTTTTTAGGTCCTTATAAAAATAAGAACTTTCTGGTTGTCATCGACGCGACTTCGAAATGGCTCGAAGCATTCGAAACAAATTTGTGTACGGCGAGTACCGTAATAACTAAAATGGAAGAATTGTTCGCGCGTTTCGGAGTTCCCAAGTCGATCACGTCAGACGGGGCAAAATGCTTCACGGGGTCCGAATTTAACAGATTCTGCACCAACGGGGGTATTAAGCACTTAGTAGGAGCACCGTTTCATCCAGAAACAAACGGCGCGGCCGAGTCGGGAGTCAAAATCTTAAAAAATTTTTTCAAAAAAAATAAAACTACCAGCACATCGTTAATGCAGAAATTTTTATTGTTATATCGCAATACGCCCCATTCCACAACACAACAGTCACCAGCTAAACTATTGTTAGGTCATAATACGAGAACACCGTTTGACGCACTAATCCCCGATACAAAAGATGTAGTGAGCGACAATCAAACCGCCCAAATTAAACGTCACGGTAAACGACAACATAACATAGGAACGGGCGATTCCGTGGCCGTGCGCGATTACCGGGACAATGATAGAAAATGGGCAATGGGCACGGTGAAAGATAACATAGGAAAAAACGTTTTCGAGGTGGAAACGGAGGAGGGGGACGTGTGGAAAAGACACTCAGATCAAACTATAAAAATCCCTACTAAAGAAACAGCATCAAAGGGAGAGACGGATAACACCACGGTGACTGAACTGATAGACGAACCGGTTAAGCCAAATAACAACGATTCGGCATCAAAAACGGGCATTAACGTAGGAAGTGTAAGCCCACGGGTAGTTAGAATAAAAAAAAATCCCGAACGGTACCAATCCATAGATTTTAGAAAAGAATAAAATGTAAAAACATTATGTAAAATAAATAAGTAATAATTTAGCCTAAGATTAAAATATAATGTTCAAGATTGAATAATGTTTAAAATAAGATAAATGTTCATGTTTTCACATATTATATTCACATTGTTGAACTGGTAACAATACCACCAAGGGTGGAAGTGTTGTATACCGATACCCACGGTGGTTATTGTAATCATAACCAGTATTAATAGTATTATAATTATTATATAAGTAAATGTTATATTGTTATAACAGCTATCTTAGTAAGGTGCGGTGGGGATTGTCCAGCGCACTAATAAGACGTTAAAGAGATGCACACGCCCGATCGCGGGCAGTTGTAAAATGTTCGTTATAATAAACGCATGCTATCATATTAAGCGCATCATTATTATTACATAACTCATAACAGATTGAAAAGAGTATTATAATGAACTCAGTAGGTATACGGTCTGAGTAGTGATTTTGCTCCCAAGATCACAATATAATAAATAATAATATTATCCTGACTCCACAACCAATATTATTTTTAATTTCTATAAAATATGCAAAACAGATTCTTACTTAAATTCTATTATTGATGTCAACATTTTAAAAGCTTAATTTGATTTTCCAGTATATTATAATTTATAACTAGGGCCCGGATCTAAAAATCTTTAAGAAAATTGAGGGATATAAGTCAAAAAGATTGGAAACCTGTTATTTAAATAATTGAAAGATTGGACTGAATCATTTTTTCAAAATTATAATTATAACAAAAAAATACGTCAGTAAGTACGTTACATAAAACTAGAAAAATACAAATTACAATTAATTAAGTACCAGTTTTATACCTACAATTAAATTGTATGAGATATAATTCAAATTTAAAATTTAAAAAATAACAAAGGTTATAGGATGAACTATGAATGCATTAGAAAAAGGCAAATACCTACATCAAGGGCCCTAACAACAATTTTTTTTTGGACTTTCAGAGTCCAATCTTAAACATATGATTAGGATGATACGTCATGTTTTTATTTTCAAATCAATGTTAAAATCGACGGGTGCCTAATAAAAATAATAACAAAAGAATAATAGAATCACATTTGGAATGTAAAATGTATTTTCAATTTTTGTTTATTGGCGTCGGGCCATTTTTTGGAGGAAAAAAACTGAAACTCTTGGTTATAATACTGGTAGGTACCTGTTATAGGAACCCGAAGCTGTTATTCCAAGTATGTTGCAAATTATTCACTAATTTCATGCTAAATATTTAGCAAAAATGTTTTTCACCGAATTCTAGTGAGGAAGGGAATTAAATAATAGACTGTACACATAAGACATTGGCTATATTATAGTTAATTTGTTTTAAACACTTCCTTCTATTCGATTGAGTAAAAAAATATTTTTTTTTTAAGAATGATTATAATAATATTTTAATGTGTATACAAAATATGTACTCGGTCGACCTTGGCCACGACGGTGGTAGTGGTGCCATTGCGGCCCATTCGGAGAAATAACTCGTGAATCCAACTTGTCCGATTTTCTCAAGACCTCTCGGGTTCCGTTTTCCAGTTTTACGCAACTAGTTGATAGTTCCAATATATTATTATAATATTTAAATGCGATAATGTATACGAAATAGATCATAATATGATGTCTGACGCATGTGCATCATGCCCATTATTATAATGATGTATTGTTTTTGTTTCGGTCGCATAGTAATAGGTATCTGGTATACATAGTGATGATAATAATAATACGTCCTCTCAGGGCAAACGCGTTTGGGTTCCAAAACCTAAAACAACAGCAACAACAACAACCACAACAACAATAATATAATAAACGTAACGACGACTGAGATGTATATTATAATATATATTGTGTATATTACAACTGTATTGTGCATAATAATATACTCGTATTATAGTCGCATATATACCATATGCACGTAAAAAAGTAGAGCAATTGACGAAATCTGAGACGTTTTTCGCGTGATATAGTATAACACTATTATAATATTATAATAATATGATACTATACACGTCTACTGGTCAAACCACAGTCACGCGTTTCATCACCATATAATCCGATACAACTCATAATAATAATAATAATAATACGTAGGTAATATATTATGCATATAGGTATAGGTCAAGTTATAGTGTTACCTACATGCAGCGCGTCCGATGACAATAATAATATACTAAATCATAATGCATTAAAAAATCCATATTTCGTGTCCTTAGTGTTCAGATCTAAACTTGAATATAGTTCAGCTGTTTGGACTCAACACTTAAGTATTCGCATATTCAACGTATAGAGTGTATTAGAGAATGTTCAAAATCGTTTTCTTCGTTTCATGGCCTATAAATGTAACATTATACCGCGTGTACCTCATTCTTCTTATCAACCATTGTTGGATACATATTTTAATACTCAAAGCTTATCAAATAGAAGGAAAAAAAATTTATCTAACATTTTTGTTTAAACTTCTAAATAGTTTGTAATCTGTCTAGAACTGTAAGGTTTTTTAATTCATTCTATATAATCATACATAAAACCAATTATACATTAGCGGCTCCTATAAACAGAATGATGTTCAATTGCTAATGATGATAATATACCAATTTATTTTTTTAATTTTAAATTTAGTTTTATTGAAAAAGAACAATTTTTTAAACTCTCCTTATTTTATTTTATTTTTATTCATTATTGAAAGTAAGTCTACTAAATATAAAATGTTTCTATATTTATATTTTCTATGTACTATGTAGTTACACAAACACAATTAATAATTTCATTTAACTTAACATGGTTTAAACCAGTGAATTAATATAATAATAATAATAGTACACTGTGTTGGACCAGGGCTTAGGAAGAAGGAATAGTGGGATATACCCCGCGGGTGGATATTTATATTTTTTAAATTTTCATTATTTTTATTCTCCATTTACTTATTTCTTACGACTCATATTATATTTACGTATATAATTTGTTGTAAATTTGTTACCATACTATTTTATAATAATATCGTATTATTACTCATTAGCATAAATTATGTCTTATAGTAGTTAGTCGTATTAAATACCGAAAGTGATACACCACCAATATGTATTATAACTAGAGACTTTTCTGAGACCCACTTCAGGATGAATATTAAAATGTCTCAACTGTCATTTCTAACATATATGTAAGTTAATTTTATTACAAGTTAACATAGTTTTATTAAACCATAAAATTAAAATTTATTTTGCCTCTGGTTTTTTCTGGTCAGGTGGCACTGCTGGTAGCCTTCCTATTTATGTTATTTTATGTCTCATGTACTTGTGTCACCACACTTACTCAGTATACCTTGTATGTTGTATAGATTGTAAATAAACTTTTTTTTTTTAAATTTAAAAAAAAAATTTCTCCTCTGGACTGCAAATTATTACGTATAATTTTTTCACTGTGCACAAAAGACGACGTAAATACTAGTGACAAATCTACGAAAGAGTGATGAAAAAAATCTAAAATCTATAATAATATAATAATAATATTACAGTGTTTACATTATATAAATGTACATAAAAATCTTTATATCCCCTCCCCCTATAATGAGGAAATACTGAATTTGGTTTTAAACCTTCACACTAGTGGCGGTCCGCGGATACCTAATATAATATAATTGTTATTTGTTTCACTCTACTAAGTAGGTATGTAGTAATTTCGAAATTTTCCACGAAGATAACTATGTAAACAGTCATAGAAGTTACTATATTATATACGGCTATTGTATTTTACAATTTAATAAAACTGTGTAAGTTAGGTCCCTCGGTGAGAACTACCAACTGTTATTGTTGTATAGGTAACCTATATGCCTGCCGTACACCGTTCTTATATAATATTATAATATTATTTAATATTATATTATGCGAAGTGTATAATGAATTCATTATGCGCAATCGTCACGCGAACATAGGTAATAACATAATATTATCGCGTGTGTGTTAAGGTATATGTATACAAGGTTAATAATGTTGGATTATTCGTCTGTTAAACGAATTTTCTGATAGTATTTTTTTTTTATACAGTTTGTACTTAAATATAATATAAGTACTAGTATTTATAATAAGTTTTTAATTGTTGCAAAAAAAAAGATTCTAATTTTCTACTACTTTTTAACGATATATAGTTTTCACTAATAATCTAAGTTTTTTGATTTAAGTATTTAACAAAGATTTAATTAACATAATGCTTTTCGAAAATTATCGATGTAATAATATATGATATTAATATCAGATTTTGAATAAATAGTTTTTTTTTTATTTTACGTCCAGCTGGTAATACTATAGGTATACTATATGCGTACGCGTAATACTAGGAATGCATTAATTATCAAGTGATTTCTCTTTGCCTGTGAACGAAATTATATTCTTAAATTATAAATGAACTAGAATAAACCCAATGGGATGAGATGTATACAGAAATAAATAGAAAATTATGATTTAAATAATTATTGCGTTTAAATCAAACACTCCGTATATGGTGTCAGTAAAAATTTCAGCCTAGTCGTCTGTTCAGGGGTGGTAGAGCCGGTAGTGGGTGAGTAGTACACACGATATGATACAATAGTATGTCATTAATACGAGAACAAAATTATTGTTTGTATACGAGAACAAACACAATATACCTGCAGGAGGGTCTTTAGACCCTTGTTATTGGCAGGGAAGGTGATTAAACTAATTAATTTAAAAAATAATTAAAAGTTATTATTTTGTTGTAAAAAAATATTTTTTGGGGGACCTCTTCCATCGCTGCTCAAAATGCAACTACGTGGGTTTAATATTATATATGCCTATATTTGAGGGTAGTCAGCTATATCTACTTAGGATACAACGCCCCACGACCAGGATTGTCAAAACTTCAAAAGCTACTACATCAACCCACTGTGAATGTCACCATTCGTAATCCTCGTGTCAACTCTGCGTAATTGTTCTTTCTTACAATGCATAATAAAACTATATCTGAACAACCCG